GGCGATGGCTGGGCGGCATGCTGTGTGGGGCCTGCGCTAGAATCTGGAGGGTTTGGGGGGGTCGGACATGTTGGGGGTGTGCGATTTAGGGCGGAGTGCGGCGTGCAGCGAGCGTGGTGTGGCAGGCGCACACGCGCGCGGGGCCGGGCAGCGGCAGCCACATGGGGGAGCTCGCTGCAGCAATGAGTGCATCTTGCGGTCGCGCGATTTTGGGGGCTTGCATTTAATTGCAAGCACAAATTTCGTGACCGTTCACACCCTCCCGGGCCCCACAACGTGCAGTGCCGCGTGAGCCCCCAAGCTTGAAACCGGCGCTCGCGCCCGCTTCGCTCGCTCATGCTTTTCGCCCCCCTCCCCCCAGCCGCATGGACCCACGACATGCAGTGCCGCCGCACTCGCAGCCCTCGCGCACGCACGCCGCGCTCACGCATTGCGCCCCAGCCCGCTGCACCCTGTTCCCCACAGGCCTGGGCGCGCGACGAGGCGGAGGGGGCGTGGACCGCGCGCTTCGGGCCGCCCGAGGACGCGGCGGCGCGCATAACCTCGGACCCGCTGTCGCGGCTGGCGCCCCTGCACTTGCACCTGGGAGACCTGACAGGTCAGCAGTGCCGTTCGTATTGTGAATTTTTGGGGGCTTCATGCGGCCCCCCTCTGCCGTGTGTCACCCAGCTCTGTCCCCAAAAAGGACAAAAGGGCGACACGACTACGAAGGCCTTATGGTCGTGCGCGTGTGCCGGCGCCGGCGGCACCATCAAGGAATTCCCTGCAAACCCAGAGCTCTGTGGGCGTATGGCCTCGGCCAACGCCCCCACCCGCCCCGCCGCGCCCTGCCCGCCTCCCCGCTTGTTGAGATCCCCCCCTCCCCCCTAGCTGGGCGCGTCAGAGCCCTGGTCTTGACCCCCTAAGCAACACCAACCCACAGTTTTCACACCTCCCTCGATCACCCTCTGCATAATCACTCGTCTCACACCTCCTCCTGCTACTCTGCACCCTGCAGGCAAGCGGGTGGTGAACCTCCTCGGTTCAAACGGTACCAAGGCGGTTGCGATGGCCTTGTTGGGCGCGTCACACGTGACGGTGGTTGACGCGTCCCCCGCGAACGCCTCTTGGGGCTCCCGCCTCGCGGCCGCCGCGGGCGTCGCCGGCCGCGTGGGTTACGTCGTGGGTGACGTCACGGAGCTGACTAAGGAGCAGGAGGAAGCTGCTGGGGCAGCCGACCTGGCGGTGATGGAGCTGGGGGTGAGTCAGCAGATTCGGAGGGTGCTGAGGCTGCGCTGACGCATTTCTTCAACCTGCTGGTGTTGGTCTCAGCCCCAAACCCTGCCACAAACACCACAGTTTTTTAAGTCACATTTCAAGTCACATTCAAAACGCTCCGCTGCTCTCTAGATCTTGATTCCCCTGACCTCACGACTGCTGCATCGCCTGCAAATCAGAACCCTGCCCCCTGAACAAATTGAACAAACTCAGTTTGTTAACTGAACAAAGTGAACAAACTGAGCGAACTCAAAAACCCCTCCCATCAACCCCTCCGCACACTCCCAGGTGCTGCACTACTTCCTGGATCTCAATCCTCTGTTCGCCCTGGCTTTCCGACTTCTGCGCCCCTCTGCCGGGGCGACCCTGGTTCTGAGGGAGTTCCACCCCATCTCAACCAAGCTGCTGCAGAAGCCCGGCGCCTCCAAAAAATGGAAGCTGGCAGGAAGCTACTTCGATTGCGACCTGGCGACATCGGCTGTCGCCTACTCAAAGCACAATTCAAATGAGGGCGCAGGGGCGAGTGGAAACGGCAGCGGCGACGGCGGCGCGGCGGAGGGGCCGGCGGGCACGCTGCTGCGGCGGTGGACTCTGGGGGAGGTCGTTACTGCTGCGGCGGCGGCGGGGTTTGTGGTGGTGCGGTTGGAAGAAGAGCCCGGGGTGCGACTGGCGGACGCGGGGATACCAAAGCTCTTCACGCTGGTGGCCCGGCGGCCCTGAGCAGGCTGCGTTCCGGGGGCCTGCAGTGCAATATGCGCGGCCCTCGGCCGCAGGAGCTGCAGGTGCGTCGGCTGTGGCGGCGGCGGCGGGGGTTTGTAGGCGCATGCCGTGCTCGCGCGCGATGGCATCGACAGGGCTGGGCGATGTGTTTTGCGAGGCAGAGCATACATTCAAGGCCAGCGGTCAGCCCTCTGCTTGTTGGTGTTTAGTTAGTTTCAACCAGAACACACCCGCTGCCCCTCCCAACCCTTGGGCTTGGAACACCGTCGCCGCACAGTCAGGTGTTTCTTGTTACCATTAGATTTTCCATTTGCTGCCGGCATCGCTTTCTGTGACATGACTGATGTGATGTGACGTGATCTGATTTTGTTGTGGTTTTCTCGGAATCTGTGTCAGCAGTCCTGATGCGCCCAATGCTTAGCCACGAAGGGAGTGTGACCAAGCTCTGCTCTGCGCCAATGGTAATCCCATCGTAGACACCCGCCTTCTTATATGCAATGTGGACTGCTTGTGTTGTGTTTACCGCGAGTCGTGGCGGGGTCGCGGCCCCGCTGGCGGCTCGCACGAGCAAGACGAGCGGCGGGGAGCGCAGGCGCTCTGAAAAAAAACCAGGACTTGTGTGGGGCAAAAAAGGAGCCTTTGAGGCAGGGCTGGCGCAAAAAAAGGCCTGGCGCGCAGGCCATGCGCGCTCGCCTGCCATGCCCGCAGCAGCGAGGGGCGTGCGTGTGGCGCCCGCGTGCGTGCATGTGTGCGTGCCTGCCGGCGGTTCGAGCCGGGGCTTGACCCGCTGAGCACTGGCCGCAGGGCGCCACAGCCTGTTGTTGGCTGACAGTGCAGCCGTAGAGCCCAGTATCAGCCACGGCCCTGGCAGCTGCTGCCTTAGGCAGTCACATGCGGGTGCCAGCGCGCGCAATGTCGCTTTGTCGCCCGCAGCCCGGGCCACCACGGCAGTGGCGCAGACGTTACAAAAAAGTTGAGACTGTGATGGAGCGTGTGCGGCGTGCACACTCTCCCGGCAGAAGTTGAGCGCGAGACAGTTCAGAACAAGCCACCCCTCAGCAGTCGGATCAGAACTGTCCTGTGCGCGTGCGACGGCGGCCACACACACGCCGCAGCAGGGTTTGCTCGGAATAGGAGCGCACGCGTCCGGGCACGGCAGCACGCAGTGTTGGGTGGGCAGCGGAGCAAGGGCGAGGGGCCGCGCGCGCGGGGGCGGCTTGGCAGGTGGGTTGGAATGATGAGCGGGTGCAGAAGGCCGCGGCGTGGGCGCAAGCGTAAGCAGGTCTCAGAAGCAGCAGCCCCCTGCCGATCTGTAATCTGCAGGGTCTCGCGGCGACTCGGCCGCCGCGAGGGGCGCGCCGGCGCTTGCAAACGGAAGGATCCGGGTGCCCGTCGCCGCCGCCTGGGGCGCTCGGATTCACTCGGAACTTCCCTGTTGGGTTTGTGACAGTTTAACCGTCCAGGCTCTCAAGACTTGCGTGCGTGCGTGCATTGTGAATGCATGGCGGGATGCCTTGGATTGGTTCGTCCGTCGACGAGGGTCGTGCAGCCGGTGACGCGCGCGCAAGAGCGCGTGCGTCCCGCAAGGCATGTTGCCGCGGGCTCAGCAGTAGAGGGGAACGCATACTTCTGGCTGGGACCAATAGACAGCCGCGAGGCGCCCGGCGGCCGGCGCCGGCGCGGTTTGGCAGGGCCTTGGGCAGAGCCCCTGGCGCCACAGGGTGAGCGTGTGTGCGGCTGGGGCGCGGCCCTCGCCGCCCGCTGTTCGACTCGGCGCGTGGGCGCACGTGCTGAAGCGGCGGCGGGGATCTGACGCCGCGCTTGCGCCGCTGCGGCCGCGGCCCAGGGTTGGCTGCCTCGATTGTTGCAAAACACGCGCGCGTGTGTGTGGCGTGACTCAGAATCTCACTGGAGGTGCGCGTGCGGAAGGTGGTGCCCTATGGGTCCCAACCCCACCAAAATTGCCAAAATGTGAAGGCCAGGGCACTGTACGCGGATAAGATAGGTCAGGGGCGGCAAAATGCCCCACAATCTATTTTGACTCTGAGAGAGTGCCCTGGCGCGCACCAGCTGCCGTGCGGCTGCCACCGCGGGGCCGATTATCCAAGGCAAAGCGGCGGAAGGTTCAGCACCCGGGGGCGGCCATAGCACTGGGCGCCAATTGTCACTCGCTTCGCTGCTGCCGCTTCAGCGGCGGGCTGCTGCCATCCCCGGCGCTCTCCGCGCCATCGCCGCCGTCCGCGCCACGCTTCGCGCTCCCTCCGTATGCCGCCGCGAGCGCAGGCGCCTGCTGCAGCGCGCGCGCCAGCGGCTGCGGGAGCTGCGCGCCTGCAGGGGATGCGCCGGGCAGCGTGCCTTGAGAAGGCGGCGGGCTTGCGCCGCCCGCGCTGGCGGCGGGCGGGGACGGCCCCTGCATGCTGCCTGATGCCATGCTGGGCGCCGCTTGCTTTAACAGGAGCAGAAGCTCCAAGGGTAGCGCCTGGACGAAGCCAGCCTGCTGCTGCTGCTGCTGCTGCTGCTGCTGTTGCTGCTGCTGCTGCTGCTGCTGTTGCTGCTCGACGTGCGCCTGCAGCAGCAGCCCCAGCTGCCGCTGCGCGGCCGCCTGCTGCCGCTCCTGCTGCGCCGCCTGCTGGTGCGCGGCGAGCGCCTGCACGTGCGCGGCCAGCAGCCGCTGCAGGGCGAGAGGGTCTGCCGCAACTACCGTGGGTGCCGCAGGCGCTGCTGACGTGGCTGACAGCAGAGAGGCCGAGTTTGAGAGCAACCCTGCAAACAATGCTTGAGACAGGGGCTCTGGTGGCGGCGGCGGCTGCGCAGACTGCAGGGCCCGCAGCGACTGCGGCAGGGACGGGGGCGCCGGCGCCGGCGCCGCCGAAGGAGCAGGCAGCACAATCGCCGGCGGCGGGGCCATCGGCGCCAGCGAGGGGATCGCTGCCTCGGCCGCCGCCGCGAGCGCGTGCGCCGCAGCGAGCGGCGGCGGCGGTGGCGGTGTGCCTGATGGTCTTGTCGGCGGCCGCTGGGCGAAGGTGACATCCTGGGGTCCCACACGCGTCCGCTCCTCTTGCTGCTGTGCCTGCTGCTGCCGCCGCTGCCGAGGCTTATGTTGTGGCTGCTGCGGTGCCGCCGCTGCTGCCGCTGTTGCCGCCGCAGCCTGCCCCTCCGCCCCTCCCCCGCTGTCGTCGACGGCGCCCCCGCCACAGCCGCTGCCACTGGCGG